GGTCCAGCTTTGCAGCCCAGCGCGTGGCTTTGCGGCCCAGCGTGTGGCTTCGCTGTGCTCTGGCTGGTGTCTGGGCGCCCGCAGGGCTGGCGTGTGCAGCCCCATCCTCTGCTCCGCGCGCCGAAAGCTCTGCCTGGCTGTCTCCTGCAAGCCGAGAGGGTTTATGTGAGCGAGCCCCTGGTTCTTCACGTTTTCGCAGCCGCTGGTGTCCTGCCTGCCTGCGGGATGTGACTGTCTCTTTCTTTTCACAGCGCTGTTGCCCCACAAGCAAAGAATCCTCCAGCCAGTTCCTGATTTCAGCCGAGGCTGACCATCCTCTCCCGCCTTCTCCAGCCCAGCTCTATGTTCTCCGACCACGGGAGGAGTGGGAAACCACCTGCCCAAGCTGGGAAGCTGCACAGAGGCCTCTGCCTGCCCCCCCTGTTCCCAGTAACAAGGTGCTGTAGCGGGGTCAGGACTACGTTTGGGGGGAGCTTTGGGGAGCACTCGTGTCCCTTTCCTCAGCGCTCTGCCAAAGGCAAACGGGGGTGGTTCTGCGTTGGTCCTTTCCTGTTCTTTCTCGATGGCCGACAGCTCTGGGACGTTCTTCCCTCTGCCTCTTGGCCACAGAAGTATCAGAAAAAACAGGTCTTGCTTTGGCAGACGGCGCGTTGCGGCGTAACGTGGGCATGCTTCGGCCTTGTTCCGCAGGCCTTCCGCACGGGGAGGTGTCCTCTGCCAGGCAGTCGCTGAATTCGGGTTTAGTGAGAACCATAATAAAAAGGAAAACAAAACCAACCCCAAACCCAAGAAAGTTCTGTCTAAAACCTTCCCCCGTTGCTTGCTCGGGCTGGGGAGTCTGGGCCCTGCTGGCTCGGCCTGTTTCAGAGGGACACGGGGTAAAACAGACGTGCAGAGCTGGAGCCTTGCCAGAAACTGTCCTGTTCTTCAAAAAAACCAACCAAAAAAAGGGATTTTCTTCATCCCGTCGTGCAGTGGGAAGCGGAGCTGCGCGCACAGTGTTGGGGGTCACCAGAGGGATGCGGCTTCGATGTTAATCTCTCCTGGAACCACCAGTTCTGTTCTGCTGGAGAATTTACCGGGGATGCAGGGATCAAAGCAGCGCCACACTCAGCTTCCGAGGAATTGTATTCTGCTCAGGATAACGCTGTGGATGCCCCATCCCTGGGAGTGTCCAAGGCTGGGCTGGATGAGGCTGGGAGCACCCTGGGCTATGGAAGGTGTCCCTGCCCATGGCAGGGGGTGGGACTGAGGGGGCTTCAGGGTCCCTTCACCCCAAACATTCCATGGTTCTGTGATATTTGTGCTTTCTGCCCCGCACGCAGCAGAGGGCTGGATGCGAACCCCTTCCTGGACCTCCGCCTCAACCAGCAGCAGGTTCTGGTGACACCCAGGTGGTCCCCAGCTCGGTGTCCCCCCCACGGAGCAAAGCCCTGGCACTGGGGCTGCTCCAGCACAGCCCCTTCCCTGCTCCGAGCTGGTGAGTGCCGCTGCCCAGAGCAGGGACGTGCTCGTGACCAAGCAGCCGGCTCTGTCGCCCCAAGGCCGCCCTCTGCAGCTTGCAGACTCCTGTTCCATCTCTCCTCCTCCTCCGTCCCCTCCGTCGGGATTTTTGACGCCTGCCTGGCTGCACGCTGAGGGGAAGCCCTGCCGAGGCGCTTGTATGGACCATCCCGGTGTAGCGCTGGCTCCTGGGGGTGGAGGAGGAAGGAAAAGGCAGGAGGAGGGCAGGGAGTACGGGCAGCTGGAGAAATCGGCTGGGGCCTGAAGAGGGTCGATGTGCTCATGGACAGGGTTCACGCGCTTTTTCCCATCCATGTGTTCCACATCCTTCGCTGATGCTGGGG